TACATTCAAAAGTTCAATTATCTGAAACACCTAAGTGAGGCTCGAAACCATTGATATGCTTATTTTCTCTGTTAACTGTTTAAAGAAATCCTTTGACATATCAATGACCACTTCAACTTTCATTCTCCATAGCCGAATGCCATTCGAGGAAAGTATTAATTATTTCTGACCCTTTTTCTAGCCATTTTGTATGCCTGTATTTTAAATTTGCCAGCTATTTTATCTGTCCAATATCAGATTATTCTGCTGATTTTTTTTAGGCCCATCATACAAAAATTAGAGGGGAGAAGTTATGCTATGTGGAATCACTGTGACGATTTATTTCATCCCAGTTATTTTCCATTCACAAATTTTATTTATACCTTCGATTGTCCTTACAACGTCGGTTTATATTATTTTTTTCTGTGGGCATCGACAAATACTTCCAAAGAAAAGAAGACATCTAAAGGGTTTTTTCTGAAATGAAGAAAATGAATATGTGAGAAAAAAATTATAAGAAACAGAAGAAAAAGAGTAGACGAACCATATTCTTTTTAACAGTTCAACTTTTCATCGAAAAATATTCATTGTTGGATTTAATGATATAATCGATTGCTATTATTTTGAACAAAAATCTTGTAAAAAGAGGAAAAAACAATGAACACACCGATTAAAAAACAGGCTGTATTATTTGTCTTCCCAACTAATTAGAAGTATTTAAATTCTATAATATGTCATACGTGACATAATTTACATGTAACGATTTATACATGAAATCATAATGGTAATTGTCAGATATTATAATGTTATGGGTAAGGTCAATTTGTATGTCTTCTTTCATGTTCAATAAATATAAATCAATAAAAGCAGCAAAATGTCTTTATTGAATATTATGCATAAAGGATGTAATAATCTGGAACGCGTCTTATTTTTTACATCTTATTTGGAGACACAATCTGCTGTTACGAAACGATCTATTAAAGAGTTCAGATAGGAAAGTGTCATGTTGAGTGTGGTTCATAGGATAATTTAATACAGTATGGTTTGCTAGCATGTCATCATTAGGTAAAATTGTAGTTTTTAACAGTAAAATCCTACCCAAAAATCGATTATTGTTTTCTTTTTGTTCATATTTTCTGTTATATTTACAGTCTTCCAAAGCATATAATCGTACTATTTCATTTGAATTCGGGAAATTTCTTGGTACATGGTTGACAATATATTCTAACTCTGAGTTACTCTGAGTCATAAATTCTGAGTCATGATATAAGCTGAACTCTGAGTCATAAATTCTTTTATCTTATAGTTGACAAATTTTTACCACAAAACACAGTATTCGGAATCGTATTAGCTTGATAGTTCATATACATACAGTAGTACCATCATTTCTGAAGTTATAAATTAATTGCGGCGTTGAAGTCATGATGAACAACGATAGCAGAAAAAAAAAAGTAATTGAAGTCGTGAAATTTCATCCACGAGATTGGATCACTTTTTGTGTATTCTGTGATATTTTATAGAAGATATTCGGAAATGTTTTATATAAATATGATATTTTGAACTTTTTATATGCGATCAAATTGAGGTGTATTCTTGAAAATGAACCGGACAGACGGTCCAGTTATGGGGACAGATGAAATATAGGAACAATCAATCCAATCATTTTGATTGGATTGGGTGATTAGTTATGTCATTTAGATCATGTCAGATATTACATATAATGTAGTGGTTGGGTAGGGTATAATGAATTATACTGAATAATTAATAGATCAATCGAGTTTGGATTGTATATTTGCTTAATAGATCAATCAGGTTTGGGTTGTGTATTTGCGTAGCGAGGCTTTGTTAATTATCGTTCCACCTGATGTTTTTTTT